TTTATTTATTTGAGAGAGAGAGAGAGGGAAACAGCATGAGAGGGGATAGGGTCAGAGGGAGAAGCAGGCTCCCCGCCGAGCCAGGAGCCCAATGCGGGACTCGATCCCGGGACTCCGGGATCATGACCTGAGCCGAAGGCAGTCGCTCAACCAACTGAACCACCCAGGCGCCCAAAACCTTCCAGACTTTCAAGGCGACAAAGTTTACTACTCTGGATTTTTTATTATTTCTTTATTTCTGGGTGTTTTGTAACAGGAAGGATTTTCTATGGCTCTTTCTAGTGTGTCATATTCCTGGCAGCATAAATTCTTCATTCCATTTATTTATTTATTTTGAGAGAGAGAAAGAGCGAGAGTGCATGCACTAGCGCAAGTGGTGGGGAGGAGCAGAGGGAGAGGGACAAGCAGACTCGGGGCTCCATGTCATGACCCTGAGATCATGACCTGAGCCAAAAATCGAGTCAGGCTTAACTGACTGAGTCATCAGGCACCCCCTTCGTTCCTTTTGTAGTATTGTAGCATTTTTCTCCTAAGATATATGAGAAGTTCCCAGCACTACAGTCTCTTTCCATGTGTATGAAGGCGCGTGGTAACTGTCCTGCTCAACAGTGCGCTGATGGGACCCATGGTTTAGGCAACTTAACTAAGTGGCAGGCAGAAATATGGTGCTTATTTTAGAGATGCAGATACATGGTTCATATGGACAATCCACTCTTGAGGACCTCATGCTATTAATAATGGGGCTTTATATTTAGGTTCTAGGGAAAGGAGATGTTTATTTATTTATTTATTTATTATTAAAGATTTTATTTATTTATTTGAGAGAGAGAGAATGAGAGATAGCACGAGAGGGAAGAGGGTCAGAGGGAGAAGCAGAGGGAGCCTGATGTGGGACTAGATCCCCGGACTCCAGGATCATGACCTGAGCCGAAGGCAGTCGCTTAAACAACTGAGCCAGCCAGGCGCCCCAAAGGAGATGTTTAGATGAGATTGAAATAGGTTTCTTCAGTCTTCTTTTGGCAACAGCCTCTTTTTTGTGTGTGCCACTTGCCACTTATATAGGGGTTGCTCACAAAGAAATAATGTCTTAGGGAGTGGGGTTTGCATCTTGGCTTTGTTGATTGGTAACTGGTCTTGGATGAGTTAATAGCTTGTGTGTTTCAGTTTCTAAATCTATCAAATACAATATCAAATATCAAATACAGTATCAGATACTAGATCATCAAGTTCATAGGCTAGTTGGGAGGATTCAGTGAGACCTCATACAAGTGATCTAGCACCATCTAGCACAGATGTGGGTGTAATAGCTATATGGTATACCTGCCTTCTGGGAAATGGAAGAAACTAGACACACCTGAGGGATTTCTTAACCAAGTATTTATCATACTTTAGTGGAAGAATATTGATCATCTCTTCTGTATTAGGTTGAGGTGAGGGGGATGCCATTGAACCAGATATATAGTCTCTGTCTTTGAAGTTCACAGCTGAAGGTGTGGAGTCAGGGCCTGTGGAGATACCTGGGTGAGAAAGGACTGGCTGAGAAGGTAGTGGGTTTGGATAGAAGGTAGATATGGTACTAGAGTCTGCTCCTCACACTGTACCCTGTCATGCTGCAGAGATTTTCCCTTCGCTTGTAGAGTACCAGAGAATAACAGTTTTAGAGGTATCAGCCCCGAGGTCACAAACTCAGATGCCTACTCAGACAGGCCATGGGGATGAGGGACGTGCCTGGGTATAAGCATGAGGGCTCAGGGTGGCCAGAGTGGCATGTCCTCACCAAAGGTAGCAGCTGTTTTAGAGGTCCACCCCAGGTGTCACCACATGGTAATGCGGGCCCATTGTGGCCAGACCTTCTAGTTCCTCAAAAGAAGCTAAATACCTGGATTTTTATGTGAAATTTCCCAACATTAAAAAATAGGCAACAAATTGAGTTTAAAAACATGAGACTCATGGGGAAGGGAGGGAAAAATGAAACAAAACGAAACTGGAGGGGGAGCAAACCATAAGAGACTCTTAATCTCAGGAAACAAACTGAGGATTGCTGGAGTGGAGGGCTGTGGGAGGGTTGGGGTGGCTGGGTGATGGGCATTGGGGAGCGTATGTACTATGGTGAGCGCTGTGAATTGTGTTAAGACTGATGAATCACAGACCTGTACCCCTGAAACAAATAATACATTATGTTAATAAAAAAAACAAAACAGGCTGTGGGCAACTAGTTTGTGACTTGTGATTTAAGCTAGGACTTTGATTTGACAGGTGGGGAAATGGAGCACCAGAGATTTGCCGTGTGCCCAGAGTCACCGTGAAAATTAGTTGCAGAACCAGGACTACAGTCCAGTTTTTGCCCTGCCTGCCAGGGCTTTTTTTTTTTTTTTTTTTTTTTTTTTGAGAGAGGGAGAGAGAGTGAGCGCGCACACACGCATGAGCAGGGGGAGGGGCAGAGGAAGAGAGAAGCTTGAGGCTCCCCGCTGAGCCGGGAGCCCGACTCTGGTGGGCTCAATCCCAGGACCCTGGGACAATGACCTGAGCTGAAGGCAGCCGCCGCTCAACCGACTAAGCCACCCAGGCGTCCCCTGGTGGTGCTTTTTGTGCTACACTACATGCCGATTCTCTAACATGTTCTACCATCTTAAAACATCACCAAAATGGTATTGAAAAGGTTCCTTCTAAAAGGAACCTTTACTGGGCCAGTTTTAAAATACTGTTTCAGAGATGTACTTTGTTGTTCAGCGCAGGCTTGCTTTCTTGCTTAGTCTCTACACCTTGGAAACTGACCTTCCTCAGGCTCTTGTTTCAAAGTTGAGCAAAGATGAAAACAGGCATTCAGACACCATGGCGTTTCCCTGTCCCATACCAACTCTAACGGCATTGGATTTTCATACTTGATATGTGACCATGCAGCTGTTAAATCTGCTTGTGTTTAGCATCTACCAGCTGTAGCTATCTTATTAAAAATCAGTTTGTAGTTTACGAGGGCATGTTCAAGTGTAACTTAGGACCAGCTCATAGCTTCAGAACCTAGCTCATGCATCATTCTTCACCGTGTGCGGGCCACTTACTACAAAGCGAATGTCATGTGATTCATTCTTTGATTAGTAGTTTTCTAATGGGCTGGAGGTTGGTTTCCTCCTGTGCCTGTAAAAACCACCCCAGAGTAGTGTTCCGAGCCATTAGGTCAGGGCCCTGTTGTGATACTGAGGGAAGTGTTTTAGGAGACTACTGATTCTGATGGGAACATGATCTCTGGAACCCGTTGCCAGACTTAAAGTTCTCACTCTGCCATTTTCTAGATTATGGTTCCCAGGATGTGTTATTTAATCTCTACCGTGCCTCTGTTTCATCATTTGTAAAGTGGGGAGAGTTTAGTGTCTACCTCATAGGGTGAGTGGAGGGTCACGTGAAGCCCTTAGAGTCGGGCCCACGCTGGTAAGTGTCAGTGAGTGATAACTGTTGTAATTACAGGGATGATTAAAGATGCCATTTGGATTATAAATCGCCTGTCCACAAAAGTCATTCAGCATTTATTGTGTGAAACATGCCAAATGGTGTTACAACTAAAAGGACTAGATTTTCAGTTATTCCTGGTTCATGTTTTTTTTAATAGCATATGTTTCTGAATTATTGTATTTTCAAGAATGTAAAACAAGTGCTTTTCCACTTTTTCTGTAGACAGCTCTAGCTCTGGCTATTGCTCAGGAGCTGGGTAGTAAGGTCCCTTTCTGCCCAATGGTGGGGAGTGAAGTTTACTCCACAGAGATCAAGAAGACGGAGGTGCTGATGGAGAACTTCCGCAGGGCCATTGGTGAGTATCACGTCTGTGGCAAGAATTCTTCTCACTTGCCCAGTGCCCTGAAGCCGCTTTGTTGTGCAAATGCCTTTATGACTTCTATTTGTTGTACTACCATTTTTCTTTTGGCACCATCTTTGCAAGCCAAACAAGAACACAACTTTACTAATTGAAGCACTTTAGCAATTGGCAAATGTGGGCCCTGGCTATGGGGCTGGGGTTTCTCACCTCACAAAATAAATATGGCTGTGAAGTGATTTTTTTAAAAAGTCAGATTTTCCTGGCAGCCTTGTTATGCTTTTAGAGATGACTATCCACTGAAAAGGCTTAGACTTAAGCCAAAAGCTTTGTGTGTCGTGATGCTGGAATGTCCCTGGTCCTGGATACTGAGCCAGAATTGTGGCCTATCAGAGAGTGGGAAAATCATGTGGGGACGGGCAGAGATTTGAGGCTTATGGTGCCACCCTCATGGGGCTGGGAGCTACCATATGAAGTGCTTGTTATATGCCAGCCCCCCCCAACATTGATTATAGCCTTTTGTTCCCCTAAGAGAAAGTTCTCTGACTTCATTTTGCATCTCATGAAACAGAATTTCAGGAAGTTAAATGACTTGCCTACAGTAACCCAGCTAGTAAGTAGCAGGGTTACAGTCTGAGCCTGTATCTGTTTGATTCTAGAGCTCATACTCTGAAGATCTGCTGTGAAAAGAAAATGGCCTTTCCCAAGTATTTACCTCTTGTCAGCCGGGCTGTCTGGGCCAGTGTCCTTGCTCCATTTTTGTTTCCCTTCCTCTGGGAAAATCCCAGCTTCCCTCACATCTACATGTAGAAATAGCTCATTCCTTTTAAGATATTAAAAACTACTTGATGTGTTTCTGCACATGTGGGCGTCTATCTCTAGGATACAGTTGCTGAGTTATAAACACTTGTCAGAGTGCCTGTACAGTTTTCCAGGCCCTTTGGTTGTCAAAACAAGGTAAACATTCTTTTTTTTAAAAAAGATTTTATTTATTTATTTGAGAGATAGAGAGCGTGAGAGAGAGAAAGAGCACGAGTGGGGGCGGGGTGGGTAGAGGGAGAAGCAGACTCCCCGCTGAGCAGGGAGCCTGACTCACGGCTCAGTCCCAGGACCCTGGGATCATGACCTGAGCTGAAGGCAGATGCTTCACTGACTGAACCACCCAGGTGCCCCCAAGGTAAACATTCTTAAAAAGGAAATTTGCTAGAAAACTTCAAGGAAATGAGGAAAGTTTAAGAAAGAGTGGATTTGTCTAGCCCAGAATCCTTGCCTTGAGACTGCTGAAGTCTAGGTCAGGGTTACAATCATGTAGGGCCTCACGCCACGATTAGGGCTTTGCATTTTTCGCTGAGTGAAAGGAGAAGCAATTGGAGAGTAGTTTCGGATGTCCAAGAATCCCCCTCTGGCTGGGGGACGGAGAGTGGGGGGTGAGGAGAGTGAGGGGGCAGCGGGGAGACCGTGAGGAGTCTGAGCAGATGGTGGTGGCTTGGGCCAGGGTGGTGATGGCAGAGGTGATAAGAAGTGGTTGGATTCTGGATGTAGTGGGATGGTAGAGCTGACAGAATTGCCTGAAGGATTAGATGTGGGGCTGCAAGAAAGAGAGGTGGCCATCTTGGGGGATGGGAAAGAATGGAGAGGAGCAGTTTGGGTGTTTATTAAATGTCTGCTGTGGATAGAGTATCTACTGCAGCCCCAGTTCCTGCCACAGAGTGAATGCTTAGTAAGTTTTTCTGAATGAAAAAAGAGGATGGACTGTAAAGCAGGTAGAAAACAGAAGGCTTTGCCTAAAGATAGCCCTCAGTCTGTGTCTGGCTATAGATATACTTTGTTTGGTTTACACAGGGTTTTTTAAAATGAATTTTGTGTTAGTTGCCAGTGTTTAGAAATTGGGGAATGTCCTATAAAATCCTTCTTTCTGGCTTCTGGAGAGAAGCTTTCATTCCCACACAGCAACAGCCAGGTTGGGGCCGAGTAGCGCTCCTTTGCAGAGTGGGCTTGCGCGGCACTGCATCACAGCCCCCCGGGGGCCTGCTCTGCTTCTTGACCTTCTCCGTTGGGTACTTGCCTGCACCGGGTCCCTGCGAGCACCCAAGTGTGGGACTCTTGTTCTAAGCCAGAGGGATTCTGAGCCGTGTCTGTAGGCTAAGCTTTGTGTTATGTAGATAAAAGGTTTTTTTAAAACTGTGAAATAGTCCTTACTAGAAATCTTTGTTAGTGGAAACACTGCATTGTTTTGGTGGCTGTTTTAAATTGAAATATCATATACATTTAGAAAGGTAGGTATAGCATGCCTGTAGTTTAACGATTAATTATGAGGTAAACATGCAGTCACCGCTCAGCTCGAGGTACAGAGCAGGGCCAGCACGCAGATGTCGCCGTGCCCTGGCTGGCCACAGCCCCTCACCTGTCCCACACCGACCCGCAGGGCGCGGGCACTGTGTGGCCGCGGCATCTGTGCTCGGCAGAGCCGGTGCAGCGGGGTGGCTGAATTTTGCCTATTTGCAGTGCAAACTTTCCTGCTGTTCTACATCCTCACCAACTCTTGATATGGTCAGCTTTTTTTTTTAGATTTTTTTTTTTAAGATTTTATTTATTTATTTGAGAGAGAGAGAACGAGAGATAGCATGAGAGGGAAGAGGGTCAGAGGTAGAAGCAGACTCCCTGCTGAGCAGGGAGCCTGATGTGGGACTCAATCCCAGGACTCCAGGATCATGACCTGAGCTGAAAGCAGTCGCTTAACCAACTGAGCCACCCAGGCGCCCTTCTAAATGGAACCTACTTCAGGTGTTCCTTTTTTTTTTTTTTTAAGCAGTGTTTATGTTTGTGAGGTTCAGCTGGTGTTCTTAACGTGTCTTGCTGTCTTTGGACTTTTGCATTGTATCTGGAATAACAGTGGACATGGCTCAAAAGACACGGGGTTTAAAATCTTTCTGAGTCCTTTTTAAAAACTTAATGAACATGTGCCAAAGATTTTATTTAACTCACTAATTAATAAGATAAACTAAGATATTACAACTGGCTCAAATATCTGAGTACATCTAAAATGTATTCTTATTTACAAAAAAATATTTTTCTGATTGATAAAATCTGACAAAACTGACTTTCACATAAGTGCATGTGTTTAGGTGGCATAAAAGTAACTTTAATGCTTTAAAATTGGAAAAAATAGAGGTAAATTTTCTAGGCATCTGCTTTGTGATTTGCCATTTTTGAGGGGAGGGGGCAGTGCAGTTCTTTTGATGGCACTGAGGTAAAGAGAATTTCTTGATCCTGCCACAAAATAAAAGGCAGGCCATTGACTGTCTTCAAAAAGGAACCCTGCCCATCTTCCTCTGCCTTTGAATTCCTGTGAAGTTGGCAGAGGGGTGGGGAGGAAGCTGTAAGCTGACCAGAAATTAAAAGCAAGGAGTCTGTGCTGTTTCCTTGACGTGATGAAGGTCCCTGTCAGGGATTTAGAAACCTGAGCCAGCAGATGAAACCTGTGTCATTTGTATTGCCGTTGCCAGAGATAGCGCCAGCTCGTTCCCTTCCCTGGCTAACAGCCGCTTTCATTGTCCGTCAACCACATCCCCTGCCTGCTTGTCAGCACACAGCGACTTCTAAACAAACACAGGGACTAGTGAGAGACGAGAATGCCTTTCTTCCCCGCTCAAGGAATTTCATGTCATGGTCATTAACAGGAAATAGAGGGAGCATTCCATTGGAAGGAATTTATCTCTGTGGGATATAAAAGTTTTGATTTAAAAAAAATCAAAGTTCATTTTAAAAGTACAGAATTTTCCAAGTATGTCACAGTCTTCTGATACATTCATGTAGGTTTGGAAAATTTTAGTCTCAATATTGAGGAATTAAGAATTTGGAAAGGCAAAAATGAAACACAGCCTCTCTTTTGGGGCCATTCCAAAACTTCTATTTATAGGGCTACCGGATTGAATGAAAGTAGAGTAGAACTTCTCCTTAACTTTAATATCTGAGAGTCTTTGTTCTGGTTGGGTTTCTGGGGAAAGAAGGCAACTGACCCAATGATAAGATAATGACTACGTTTAAAAGTGGGAAGTGATCGAGAGTGTCTGACACCATTGGCAGTGTTTCTTTGTGCTATTGGGCTGTTTCCATATCAGAACAGAGGTGGCTTGATGGTGAGGACACCCAAACCCTATCTGGGCTACCTGTCATCGGAGGTAGTTTACGGCTCTACATTGTGAGTAGGACGGAGTTCTTCACTCCTTAAATGAGTGGTTCTCAGCTGTGGATGCACACGGGAATCACTGGGGGAGCTTTAAATGAATGATGGTGGCAGTCCCAACCCCTGAGGTTCAGAGGCAAATGGTCTGAGTCCAGCCAGGGTCTGAAGAATTGTAGAGGCCTATCTTGATACTAAAGGGTGAGAGAACCATGATGTACACTCCAGCTGAGATTTAGAATATTGTTTCCTTTTTTTTTTTTTTTAAGATTTTATTTTTTTGACAGAGAGAGAGAGAGAGACAGCGAGAGAGGGAACACAGGCAGGGGGAGTGGGAGAGGGAGAAACAGGCTTCCCGCTGAGCAGGGAGCCCGATGTGGGGCTCAATCCCAGGACCCTGGGATCATGACCTGAGCTGAAGGCAGACGCTTAACGATTAAGCCACCCAGGTGCCCCAGAATATTGTTTCCTAAATGTAAGCCATCAGTGTTCCTCCTTTGCCAGGTCTCACTAGTATTATTTACTTAAATTTTTCTTTTTAAAGTGACTTGGTCATTTTGTGTGCACATAACAAAAAAGTAGATGGAACATAAGCGTATAGCTCAGTGAATTATCATAAACTGAAAGCCCATGCAGTCAGCACCCACTCAAGAAAGAGAGTATTGCCAATCCCCAAAGTACCCTTTGTGTCCACCCCCAATCTCCATCCTTTCTTCCTTCTCCAAATTAATAACTGTCTTGCTTCTAACATTATAGTAGTTATGCCTGTTTCTGAACCTCACATATGCAATCAGGCAGTGTAGAAGTATATATTCTTCTGTGTTTGGCTTCTTTTCCACAAAGTTATGTTTGTAAGAGTCATCGGTATTTTTTCATGTAGCATGCCCATACCTAGTAGGTGTATACCTAGAAGCTGAATTACAGAATATAGGGTATTCATGTGTTCAACTTTAGGAGATTATACCATGCTGTTTCTAAAGTATTTGTACCAATTTATACCCCTATTTGCAGTGCAAACTTTCCCACTGTTCTGCATCCTCACCAACTCTTGATATGGTCAGCTTTTTTTTTTTTTTTTAAGATTTTATTTATTTGAGAGAGAGAGAATGAGAGATAGCACGAGAGGGAAGAGGGTCAGAGGTAGAAGCAGACTCCCTGCTGAGCAGGGAGCCTGATGTGGGACTCGATCCCAGGACTCCAGGATCATGACCTGAGCCGAAGGCAGTCGCTTAACCAACTGAGCCACCCAGGCACCCGATATGGTCAGCTTTTAATTGTAGTGATCCTAGAGGTGGTAGAACAATATTTCATTGCTTTTTTTTTTTTTCTAACTCTTAGTTTGGAAAGTTTCAAATGTACAAAAAGGAGTCAAGTGATGACCTTCCCCCATGGTCCCATCACCAGGCTTCAACTCATAGTTAATCTTGATTGATCTATAGCCCCCATCATTCCCCTCCCAGATCCTTTGAAGTTAATTGCAGACCTACTTTTTCATCCATAAATATTTCAGTATGTATCTCTGTAAAATAAGGACTTAAAAGAAAACCCCACTATACCACTGTCATGCCTAGAAAAAAACGAACAATATATTCCTTGATGTCATCAAATACCTAGTTAGTGTTCAAATTTCTAGTTGTCTCATGTTATAGTGTGTTTTTCCTTTCTTGAAAAGTTTTTGAATTATTATTTGAATCAGGATACAAATAAGGGTCTGCATGATAGCTTGGTTGATATGTCTTACATCTTTTTAACCTATGGGTTTCCCTTACATTTCTGTTTTTCCCTTTGGGCAAAACTTAGATGGAGACTAGGCTCACACCCAAGGGCTGGCAGAAAGGGACTGCTGAGGTCAGTGGGCACATGTTACCTGAAGGGGAAAGGACAGCGCCAAGTGTTGTGGGAAAGGCTGTCAGCCAGCTGGCACCCCGTGGTGTGGCGTGGCGTGGTGTGGCGGGAAGAAGCTGGTGTCAGAGCCAGAAGACTTGGATGCTAGTCTGGGGTCTACCATGAAGGACGAAAGGACCCTTGGCTCCCCTCTTGGAGCTGACCTCCCCTCTGTAAAATCTGTAAAAGGACATAAGGAGTGCTCACTCTGGCTGTTTCACAGGGCTAGGTTGGGATGTGCCGGCTCCTCCCCTCGTCCTCAGGATTCCAGTGCAGGATCAAATGAGGCAGTGACATGCATGCCTTCTGTAGACTGTGTGGGAAGGCCACTTATGTGGGTGAAGAGGCTGCCACAGTTAGAGGTTTATAGTGTGTTCTTCCTGGTGCGGCCTGCAGCTTTCCCTAAATGTAGGGACTCCTTCTGGATGCATCTTCAACTAGTTTGACCCGAGGATGTGTCCTTCCTTTCCTCTGGGTTGATGGCAGGTACAGTGACTGAAAATGGTTCTCTTGTTGATGTAGAATCCTTGGAAAACAGATTTATTGGCTGTTAACTTACCTGTGATACATCTGTGGTTTTGGAGAAAAGGATTTGTGTCCCTTGACCCAGACTTTGGGAACTGGGGAGAGCTTGTGTTTGAGCGCATGTGTTTTCAGAGAAGCGGTGTTCAGTGGTATGCATTTGTTTTCCCGTTGTAAGAAAACCTTTACTTACTAGTAATTATCATTGCTTTGTTAGACAAACCCAATTTTCTTTTTGTTATTTTAACATGTTATTAAAGCATAATATATGTATATGTGTGGGTATGTATATGTGTGTATATATATATGTATATATATACACTCACACATATATATACACAGAAGAAAAAACACAGTCATAGGTATTTAGCTCAATAAGTTTTCATAAAGTCAATACACTCATGTAACCAGCACCAAGATCAAGAGACACATTAGAACTCCAGAAGCTCCTAAAAAAAAACAACCATTCCAGAAGCTCCTTGTGCCCCCTCCAGTCACTATTCCCTGTTCCCCTGCACCAGTGAGCAGGGACATGCCTGTGTTGACTTTGAAGGCAGAAAGGTGTGATCCAGGGTTGGGGTTTTAGGGTTTTAGGTTTGGGGGTGTTATGGTGGACCTGGGCTGTTGCATCACGTGGCAACCTCCTTAGAGATCTCGGTCATTACAGAGAATGTGCGGAAGTATCCGTAGACATATTTCTTGGGTACTGGATGGTCTGCCTGATGACAGCCCGCATACCCTCGAGTAACTTCCTCCATTCATCCACTTATGTGTGTGGCTGTTGACAGTCTAGCAGAGGGGGGAGTTGGGTTTCCCGAGTCCCAGCAATCCCATGTATGAGTGCCAGGTGGGAGGCACAGGTTGCCATGGGAGTCATCTGGAGGGTAAGGAAGAAGGTGTGTGAGGCAAGCTTTCTAGGAGTAAGTATTTGAACTGGGGAGTTGGCGAAGCCAAAAAGGAGTGAAGTACTTTAGGCAGCAAAAACATTTCATAAAAAGGCACTGAGATCATGTTCTAAAAATTAATTTGCCAACAGTTCTTAGTTTGATAATAAACATTTATTGAACAGCTAATGTGGTTGATGTTTAGAACAAGGAGAGACATTTGCCTTCACTGATAATATTCTAATCTGAAAATTGTGCTTTATCATTGGGGAGTTGCTTTGGAAATTGTGGCCTTGGAAAACTTGTAAAACAACCCATTGCAAATACTGAATGACCACTGGGTCTTTCTTCTTTGGGTGTGCAGTGAGGGTCAGCCAGAGGCCCAGGATACCTGGCAGGTCAAGTATCACTCGCTGTTGGCATGGACCTCTAATTATATCTAGCTTAGACCTGATAGTGTCACAAGGGATGTGGGGAGTTACTCCATTGGTTTTAAAATTCTTTTCAAGAGTCAAAAATGCAGGAAATGAGGGCATATCTAGTGGAGCAGAATGGTTTGGGTTCAGAGACTGAGTTAGAGGCTAAAGCTAAATTTCATCCCCTTGGAGGTGTAGCAAATGTGAGAAGCAATTTTGAGAATGATAGTTTGTCTATTTAGTTCCAGATTCAAACCTAGAAAGTCCCTTTGAAAAGTTGAAATAAAATTGTTTTTCTGAATTCTGAATAGCTCCTCCAGGTTACATTTATGTTTGTAGTACTTTTCTACCCAGAGTGATACCCTTGAATGTGCATTAGTAAGGTTGACTTGTCAGTCTTGGTGACATGGAAGTTTTGTGGCTAAAAAGGCTACTAAGGAGTAAGAGAGAGAGATTATGAATATGTGAGAGAGAATTCTGCTTCTCACCAGGGCTCACCTGCCATCTCTTCCAGGGCTACGGATAAAGGAGACCAAGGAGGTTTATGAAGGCGAAGTCACAGAGCTGACTCCATGTGAGACAGAGAACCCCATGGGAGGGTACGGCAAAACCATTAGCCATGTGATCATAGGACTTAAAACGGCCAAAGGAACCAAACAGTTGAAAGTGAGTACTTCGGTGTGGACTCTCTTGTCTTGCCTCAGGATCTGTGAGCACTGTGTGGCCTTGGGCAAGTGATGTAACCTCTCTTTGTCCCACTTTTCTCCGTATACTGCAGGTGATAATATGTCACAGGGCCATTTGGGGATATTATGTGTATTAAGCAATACCTAGAATAGGGCGAGTACACAAGAAGACCCAATAAAGATGGCTCTCACTTTTCTCATTGACTCCTAGGAAACTGTACATTAAAACGTGAGCTGTGTGGTTAGTCGTGCCTACCTTTTGCCATGCTGTATCCCGTATTATGACCATGTGTCAAAGGCTCTGGGCCTGTCTCTGAACCTACGGATTAATGTTTCAGATATCAGTGTTCATGCCCACAGAAAGAAGCAGCATTGAGTAATCTGGTAAGAGTTGTATAACAGATGACAGATGGACATCCCAAGGGGCCAAACACAGAATCCTTAATGTAGTTCCTTTTATGTGTCAGAGCCTAGAAAGCTATAGTGGCTTCAGTGGTTGACTCTGCTCAGGCTAGGGCTTTGTGGAGAAGTCATAGTGGTGGCAGTGTGGGAGGCCTTCCATCGTCCTCGTCAGACACTTGTCCGGCCAGCCTCGGCAATGTGGGTAGCAGGGGCGCCCAGGGGAAGAGTGTGGTTTGGAGTCTGGTGAAGTCCGGAAGGGAGACCGGGCCCTGCTGCTGAGAGCAGTGTGGCTTAAGAATATGGAAGTTGTAGTTTTGGGGGTAGCTCCTAGTTACCTAAGACATGGTAGCTGTTGATGTTATTATGAGAGCCTTCAGTTAGAGAAACGTGGCAATTGGGATTGTAGGCTTTGCCTTATTATTTATAATAAATAATATCATAATAATTATAATAGCACCATAGATCTTATTTACTGGATGTGCCAGGCCCAGGCTAAGTGCTTCAACAAATATTTCATCTTTTGTCATTTATAGCTTTCTACATGTATGTGTGCCATGTGTGTAATTTCCCTCATGTTACAGAAGAAGGAACTGAGACTTCATCAGGAGGTTAAGCAGTTATCCTAGGCTTGCACAGCTGGTTAAGTGGCAGAGTGGACTCTCTGAGTCCCAGCCGTTATGCTGTCCATCCTCCAACTTCCTGTGTGACCTTTGGGAGTGAGTTGAACTCTCTGGGCCTCTGTTTGCCCATCTTTGAACTCTGGGAGATTGATCATATAATTTCTCCATCTTCACTCTCCTCCGTGATTTTATGGTTCTTTGATTCTGTAAGGTGGTTTCTTGGTCACTGCTTTATGGAGATCATAAAAATGTCACTTCTTCAGAGGGTCATTTTTCTTTTTCCTAACAGGGTTTCTATCTCAGGAGCTTGCCTCTGCAAATATCTCTTTTAAACCTCCCCCTCATCTCTCCCTTACTGTATTAATTAGATTTCTTGGTAGGATCTGCTGCTTTTCCAGTAATTACATCTTCAGTCAATTCATTTGGGAAATTAACCAATATTAAAATGCTTGAGGCAAAAAAAAAAAAAAAAAAGGGAATACTCCCCAGTGTAGGAGAGCTGAAATAAGGCACGCAGTTTAGATTTCAGCTCTCCACCAGGCTGCTTTGCACGGTTTCTTCAAGAAAATAACCTAAGGGAGAAAATGAAATTTTTTTCTTCCCAAATGAGTAGCTAATTTGAGCATATGTATAAGGTATTTGGACAAACGGAGTTCAGATACTTGTAGGTATTGAATTGTGAAGGAGGAGAATTATCGTACTTGCCATCATTATCATGTACCTCCCTCGTGCCAGGCCCTGCGTCAGGGGCTTACCAAGCATTGTTCTCATGCTTTAGGAAGCTGCCAGGCCCCACCCTGCCAGTGACACAGAGCCCCGGGTTTGTTCCTGTGGTTACGGTCTCTAACAGCTTTATTGAGATTTAATTTTAAATAAAATTCACCCATTTTAAGCGTACAACTCAAGGAATTTTAATCTATTCACAGAATGGTATAGGTAGCACCACCATCCAATTTTAGAACATTTTCATCACCCCCAAAGAAACCTCCTGCCCGTTGACAATAGCGCCTATTCCCACCCACACCCCCTGGCAACCACTAATCCACTTTCTATTTGTATATATTTGTCTTTCCTGAACATTTCATGTAAATGGAATCATACAGCATGTGTTCTTTTGTGTCTGGCTTCTTTCACTGAGTCCTGAGTTTTACTCTTTAATTTTGTTTGAGATAAAGCCCAAGTTTTTTCACATTATAAAATACAAAGTTTGAGAAAAACAGCTCTCCTTGAAGTTTAATGGCAACTTATGTTTAAATTCTGGCTCCTGACAAAAGATGCTGTCCTAGAATATTGAACATTAAGGGTAGCCTGAATTTGGACAATGAGGAGAAAAGCAGTGGTCAAAAATAGGCTCCTCTCCTTTCCTGGAGGTATAAGCAGGCAGGCCCCAGGGAGCAGACACAGATTTGAATCAAAAAGGCTTGGTTTGTGTTTCCCTCTGGATATTTATACCTGGGTGCTATTGTATAGATGAAGAACCTGAGGTTCAGAGAGCCTTGTCCAAAATCATAGGACCACCAAGTGCCAGCCACAAAGAGCAAGCAGGTTCCAGTGGGTGCTTCACATGCAGGAAGTTCTACCCCCATCTGAGAATTGAAGCAGGGAGAGCAATCTCAAAAGGGGGTCTTAGGACCTGTGGTCCCACGGACAGCGTGGGCCTCACCTAAAAGTAATCAAAATTATACTTGCCAATCTGCAACCTCAGGAGTAGGAGGAAGGAGGATAATAGGTCTTTCCTTGTGTTCCACTTGGGCACACTCATTCTCCTGCTGTCTCTAGGACACATATCCCCAGAGCCAGTTGTTTCATACATCCACACACACACATCCACAGACGCACACACATACCCCCGCCCCCGCACAGATGCACTTTCTCCATACAGTCATTAGCTACCTCGAGTCCCTTGTGGAAAGGTACCTTACAGCATATCGGAAATAGATACTATATGTATTACAGTTCCCTGAATCAAATGTTTTTGGGTTTGTTTGTTTTTTCTTTAAAGCTGGACCCCAGCATTTTTGAAAGTTTGCAGAAAGAGCGAGTAGAGGCTGGAGATGTGATCTACATTGAAGCCAACAGCGGGGCCGTGAAGGTAACACCATGCCTGGTTTGCAGGAGGAGGCCTAGGTGACAAGGGGGGGGTGCTTTCTTCAGGAGTATGGGGTGCAGGGAGGGGCTGGCGTCTGGTGGGATGCTGAGGGAAGGTCAGCAGTTGCCCCTTTATGTTGAATAAAGTTTGCTTTCCCTTTATCTTCATTCTTTAACCTTCTCATGATTAAAACAGACAGTCTGTTAGAAAAATACTAAAGCCTGTTTAGAGGGGGAGTACCAGGTGAGAAAGCAGAACAACTGTAGTCATTTTCAAATTGAAGTGTGCAGTGCGTTTAATCTTCCTTTTATCTCTTTGGTATTTTCTTCCCAAGATATATGCATGTGGAAAGGAATGCTGCATTAGTTGGCATTCTTTTTATATCTGATTTTCAGTGTCCTGTACAGTGTTCCTCACTGTTTAATGGATGAGCATAATACTTCATATCATACGATAAATCACCCACCTACAAAAGAGTCTGAACGGCTCCCTCCGTCTCCAGTTAATCTACTGGATTTGCCCTTTATCAGGAATTGCATACAGTTAAAAGAAAGAGAGGGGGGGGAAAGATTCAGAGAAAGTATCAGGTGTTTTTCAACTGGGTTTTTGGAGCCCAGTGATGAGCAGATAGCTTCCTTCTCTTGGCAGCGGGGGCGTGGGGCATATTTCGAGTTTGTCAGGTAGGCTGTCAGGCCCACAGTTGGGAACTGAGACTTTTATCTCACTTAGCACTGTGCCATTTGGGGACTTGGCAGTGAACACTCACCGGGCACTCAGGTTTCTTTCTTTCTGCAGAGGCAGGGCAGGTGTGATACCTATGCCACAGAATTTGACCTTGAAGCTGAAGAGTATGTCCCCTTGCCAAAGGGGGATGTGCACAAGAAGAAAGAAATCATCCAGGATGTGACCTTGCACGACTTGGATGTGGCCAACGCACGGCCCCAGGTACTGCCTTGTTGTGGGCATGACCTGGCACCCGAGCCCTTTTGTGTGTGCATGGAAGCTCTGGGAATGAATTGTCAGTGTCTTGCTGCCGTTTCTTAGGGCAGACGGTCCTTTTCTGTCTGTAATGTTCAGCAATTAACATCGACATGAGCTACGAGGGACTCCTTTGTTCCAATTCAAATGCTCTAGTCACAGATGATTTCATGTGTATTGTTTCTTACCCCAGCCAGGCCCCTGGCCCTGAGCTAGCCAGCTTCTTTCATGGCTTCCCTCCAGCAAGCAGGCTCATGCCTGGGATTCTCTGGGTGTTAATGGTGGAGGGCAGGAGTGTTCTTTGAGCCCTTTGCAGGATTCCCGAAAGCCTGACCAAGCTGTGTCTTTCCCTCTGCTTAGTGAAATCTTCGGTGTTTTAGCTTGGAGCAGGAGTTGTGTTGGCTCCTCATGCTGACAAATGGATGCTTAGGCCTTGACTAGTAAAATGTGGGGGAGTACAGTATGACTCTGACATCTCTGCAAAATGTGCGATTTTAAAACCCCAACTCACCCTGCTGGTAGCCTTTCAGTTTGATTTCCTCTTCATCCTACGAGTCTGCCTTTTCATTAGCAGGGAATAGGCTTTCTAACCTGAAATTTGATCCTTGGGTGTTTTGCCCCTTAGAGCCTTGGCCAAGAGATTGCTGAAGAATCGTTTGTGTTTTGTTTTGTTTTGTTTTTAAGATTTTATTATTTATTTATTTGCAAGCGAGAATGAGAGAGAGAGAGAGAGAGATCAAGCACACAAGCAGGGGGAGCAGCAGGCAGAGGGAGAAGCAGGCACCTCACTGAGCAGGGAGCCCGATGCAGGGCTCGATCCCAGGAGCCAGGGATCATGACCTGAGCCGAAGGCAGATGCTTAACGACTGAGCCACCCAGGTGTCCTGCTGAAGAATCGTTTTGGACCAAGAGGTCCATCTGTATGTGGAACAGCTGTCCCCAAACCAGCCTCCCGGGAGCCTTCACCTTGGTTAGAGTGTTTGGCCAAGAGTTGGAAGTCAGGGATTGTGTCACTCTGATACTAATGAGTTCTGCCCATTAGTTACTTGGTGTCCCTGGGTTTTCTGTGATTTAGGGTGCTCTGGTTTTGAGTTTCCTCCTTTGTGAAGAGGACATAATAGTTCCTACCCTGCGGGATCAGATGTCGTAGGTTCTCAGGAAACATTCGCTACATTTTATAGCTGAACATTTAGTAAGCACCTCCACCTCTCTCCCAGGGCCTGGCAGAATGGGATCACGAAATGCTAGGCAGATGACTGCCCTGGGAGGGGCTGGCGGTGAGCCTGTTGGTGAGTCTGTTAGCAGCCAGCCGTCCTGCAGGGTCGGCTCCCCCGACCAAGCAGCCCCAGGGCAGGACTCGCTGGAAGTGACTGTGCAGTCAAGTCTAGAGAGGAGACGTGGGAACGCAGATAAGTACATCCTTATACTTACCTCAACAGTCCATCCATCCCCAAGGGAACCAGAGCATCGGCAGAGGGTAGGCGTCGGATGCCCCATGAGGGCATTTGACCCGAACTTTGATGGGTAACTGGAGCTTCCTGGAAAAGAGACTGTGTTTCCAGGTAGGTGGACTAGAATATGCAAAAGCATTGAATCGTACAAGAGCACGGGTGTTTGGAGAAGGGTTGGTCCTGTGTGGCTGATCAGGGAATGTGGGATCGGAAAAGGATATGGCTGGAGAAGGAGATTGGGGCGGGCCGCACAGAGCTGGTACATCCCATGAAGGCCAAGGGGGACCTCTTAAAAATTCCTCTGTGTTTAGGAGAAGTGCCTCACATGGGGCACCTGGGTGGCTCAGTCATTAAGCGTCTGCCTTCGGCTCAGGTCATGATCCCAGGGTCCTGGGATCAAGCCCCGCATCGGGCTCCCTGCTCAGCGGGAAGCCTGCTTCTCCCTTTCCCACTCCCCTTGCTTGTGTTCCCTCTCTCGCTGTGTCTCTGTCAAATAAATAAATAAAATCTTGAAAAAAAAAAGAAGAAGAAGAAGAAGAAGCTCCTCATGCTTTCCATTGAGGGTGTCTGGGGTCTCCACACCTAAAACCCCGTGTCCAGTTGACAATGGGAAGCAGTGTGATGGTGATGGTGGTGGTGGAGACCTTTGCAGCTGCCTTAGAAAGTGGAACTGACTCTGTGAGTCTTCTGTTTTGCAGGGGGGTCAAGACATCCTGTCTATGATGGGCCAGTTAATGAAGCCAAAGAAGACAGAAATCACAGGTAAGAGAAACAGCAAGGCCTGAGAGCAAGAACCAGAACCGTAGGGCTCTGGACTCTGATGTACTGTGTGAGGCTCTTTGAGTGAATCCTTGGACCTGAGGAACTACTTTGGGACAGGTTCTTCCTCGTCATTCAGAGCCTGACTTCATCCTAGCGTACTGTGTGCTGTCTGGCCCGGAGTGCTAGCGCACTCTCTTGAATGCATTCAATATCCTTGCACTCATCTTTGAAGATGGAGGCCATCACAATCTGGTCCCTTCGAGGTCCCGGAAATGTGGACGGTATCAGTCCAGCTATGCAGGACAGCTCCTGCCAGAGCACTCCTGAGCACAGCAAGCTCCACCGCCTCGGTCCTGGCTCTTTTTGCTCTGCAGCGGCAAGGCAGCTCCCAGCCTGCCCAGCTCAGCTTCCTGGGCACTTCCCATGGCTTGGCAGGAATGTTGTTTCTCCCTTGTGGACCTTCAGTTTCCCCTGCTTCTCTTCCCAACTGGCACATCCCTCTTTTTTCTAAGCACCTGTCACTTTAAAATGTTAAACATTAAAGCCTGTTACCTGTTTTGAGTTAGCCAGCAGAGTGATCTGAGACTTTTCTAGTAGAGTCGCCAAGATCAGTTTCTGTGTTTTCACGGTTTTGACCATGACCTCTTTTGACCATCCCTGCCTCCTGGCTTTGGTGGAAGATGCAGCATCAGATCTTTGTGTTCTGTATTTGTGAGCAGCTCCCTCCTCATGATAGTGCAGGAGCTGGTTTGGAGCACAAGAACGGTCACCTTAGGTGGTCTCATGTAACTCTTGAGAGACCCATCCCTCTAGAGCTCTGAGATTGGACCTTTCCTCAGAACCTGCCTTCCTCACAGGTTTCCTTCCAGAGAGCCTTTTGCATGTACTGTATTCCTTCATCTAGGCACTTGATTGAAAGTTAATTAACCCAAGCTTTGTCATACAGGGCCAAAAGAAAGGGTCATTTGATGAGTGCAGAACAGGAAAATTTGCATATGAAAACTCACTTCAAGCAGGACTCCCCAACTTCTGTTCTCTGGGATGTGGCAGGGCACTAGGTGGGTGGGTGTGAGTAATAAAGCAAAGTGGAGAGCGTGACTGGGGGGTGCATGCCCCTGTGAAGACATGCAAAACTGTAAAAGCCATTACAGACTTAACATGTCGGCAGGGGAAGCTGCCAGTTCTGTGACTTCTCCGTGGTGATTATCCCTGTTTTCAGATCATGACACCGAAGTGGGAACGTAACCTGCCTGGGGTCATATAGCAGTAAAAGTGGGCCCCACACTTGGCTTTGGATCAAATGGGGATGGGAGAAGAGGAGAGGAGGTGACTGCTTCCCCACCTAACCGTGCCTGTCTCTTCTTACTGTCTCCTAGACAAACTCCGAGGGGAGATTAACAAGGTGGTGAATAAGTACATTGATCAGGGCATTGCTGAGCTGGTTCCAGGTGTGCTCTTCGTTGATGAAGTCCACATGCTGGACATCGAGTGCTTCACCTACCTGCACCGGGCCTTGGAGTCTTCTATCGCCCCCATCGTCATCTTTGCGTCCAACCGAGGCAACTGTGTCATCAGGTAGGGTGAGTCCATCTGGGCTCATGTTTTCAACCCATAATGTTGTGAGTCAGGATAGAGATGAAGGGAGATCATGTTCATTTTGAGAGAAACCTGCCAAAGTGGCTTGTCTTCACAGGTAGTTCATGCATCAGCCTCATTCCCTCATGGCCATCCAGGGCAACAGCCATCCTGTTGCTGAATATGAGGGCCTCCCACATGGTCTCTGGGGTTACAGTGTGGTGTGATTTGGTCATTCTGTTGGAGAGGGCAAAGGTAAGGCCAGTCAGGCTGGCCTTGGGTGACCTTACATATGTTAATTTCTATCCTCATACTAGCTGTGGGTCGTAAGTATTCTTGGCTTTGTGTTTTAGATGAAGAAACAACAGCAGAATAAATCCTGGTTGTAAAGATAAAGATATGATGAGGACCCAGATCTTTCTAATAATGAAACCAGTAACAAAACCAGTATTTTCTCTGTATCTCTCTACCTTCTTGGAGCCACACTGGTGCCTGCCCCTGCCCCTACCCCTACCCCCCTGAGGCCTGCCTTTGGGAAGGGTGGATGTTGAGACCTGGAAGGCACATGCCCACATGATGCTCACCCTGCCAGGATGGGCCCAGGGCTGGGTGGGGGGGTCTTTCTCGAGTTTCTTTTTCTCCTGAGTACTCTGCAAATGAGCAGATGAGCCCCAGAGAACACACTGTCTTCCCAGCTCTCAAGGGCCATGTACTTGGTAGTTTTCTTGCTCTTTGGTTTTCTGTGCTCCGGTTTGAATGCTGGGGCACAAAGCAGGGTGGTGAAGAGCCCTTTTCAAGCCTGCCGGGGAGAAGTGTGGGAGAACAGAGCCCTGGAGGCTGCGTGCTCCTGGCAGCAGGGGTGGTAGGAATCTGGAAAGAGACCCTAAGGCCCATGAGTATCTCAGTACAGAGCTGGAGCCAGACCAAGTTAGGAACCCAAATTGCTGATTCACCTAGACTTGCCTCTGAATGATGGTGGGTCACATGCAGGACTTTAGCTGGCTCTTGACAGAGTTTTGTCTCCATTGAGATTGTTCCAAGGCTATGCTGCTGGCTCTGGGGCAGCTCCCCTCTCAGGTGATCGTTCTGTTTCAGAATTAGGATTTGCTTACATGATTCAAATTCATGTGGCAGCAGCTTGTAGTCATTCTTTGAATCCCTCCCTGTATTGGTGTCTTGACAAGATCACCATCACAGGTGTTTTCTGCATTCTTGGGGAGAAGGCAGCTTATTCCAGGGCCAGGCCAGTCGTTGGTGAGAGGAGCTGGCTACCTGGGCAGCCTCTGGAAACCAGTATGTGACCTGGTGCCTGGTGAGCCTGGCATCCCTGCCGCCCACACCCTGTAGTTTTGCTGGACTTCTGCTTGCTTTGGTCAGACCTGGCTTCAGTCTGAAAGTTGGTGAAAGGCTCAGCCTGGACTGATGGCGCCCCCTGCTGGGGGGCTCTGCCAACAGGCTCCTCTCCTTCACAGCAGATAACCCAACCCAGCAGATGCCAGTGGAGCCTGGCAGCGTCTGACAGGAGCAGACTCTTAGGCCTCAGAGTACCTTCTCTCAGACCCATCCCACCCGGGAAAAAAGTACACAGGAAGATGGTTCTGAACTCAGAGCATGCCCAGTGGGGATGGAGCTCTGGTCAGCCTGAAACCTGGGAAACTTGGCCCCAGCGCCCCCAGACGGATTTCATCAAGGGCTGCTAGAGGCTTTGGCTGCCCACTGCTGCCAGACCGCAGTGGGAGGAAGATGCTCAGCGTGTGATGCTTTCTGCAGCTCTGCTGAAGCAACCAGAATTGGGCTGTATGCTCTAGATGAAGGTTTTGGTGCGAAGCGCTGGTAGCTGGTAGGGCTTTTGTTGTAGTGGTGAGAATAATGTGAAATTAGCAACAATAAAAATAATAGCCAACATGTATTGAGGAGTTCCTTCTGTGCACACTGCTGGTCACACCTCAACTTATTGGGGAAGGGACTGGTGTTCTCACTGTTCACATGAGGATACTGAGGCTCCACCACGATGGGGGACTTGGCCAAGGTCATACAGCTCAGAAGTAAGGCTGGGGTTTGAATCTAGGGTGTTGGACTTCAGAGCTCATGCTCCCAACGAGATTTGGTTTAGATGTGAAGTGTTGAAATTTCTGGAATATTGGTACAGTTTCGGCAACATATGACTTGCTTCCCCATAGACTTTACTCCTGGAGGGAGCTGTCGAGCTTCCTTGCCCTTCAGACCCATATCTGACCTCCAGAGCTCGAAAGGCAAGAGGAGGGAGGGAGCTCCCTGTAACTGAGGGCTTCCTCTGTGCCCGAAACTGTCCACGGTACTCTAAGTAGGTCACCCCATGTAATCTCCTGCACCTGACGATTCTGTGGGCAGGTGACCTCATTTCCAGACTCCCACGGGAGGTGATGTGAGTGGGCCACAAGCCTGGGGGTCGGCTGGCTCTAAAGCTCCTGCCACCCCTGTTCTCCCGCACTGTTTCTGGTCAGTGTGGGGTGTGGAGGGGGGGCTGAGCTGGTTCAGGTCACTGCCGCCTCTGTCAGGGAGTGGCTGTGAAAGTGCCAACTGCCCCCTCTTCCTCTAGGTCATGTCTCCTTGTGCACAGGGCAGGGTAGCCATTCTTGCAGGAGCACCTTCAGGCCTCAGGCTCCTCCTGGGAAGAGAGAATGCCCCTGGGCGCCAGGGGTGGTGCAGCTGCATGGGCTCCACCCTCCCTTGCCACCCTCAGAAGTCCCTTCTGGGGGCGCCTGGGTGGCTCAGTTGGTTAAGCGACTGCCTTCGGCTCAGGTCATGATCCTGGAGTCCCGGGATCGAGTCCCGCATCGGACTCCCTGCTCAGCGGGGAGTCTGCTTCTCCCTCTGACCCTCTTCCCTCTCGTGCTCTCTATCTCTCATTCTCTCTCTCTCAAATAAATAAATAAAATCTTTAAAAAAAAAAAAAAAAAGAAGTCCCTTCTGTGCCAGGACCCTCAGCCATTAAAGGAGAGACTGGCCTTGATCCAGCTCCCCAAACTTAAGGGGTCTTCTTTTCCTGTGGGGAATAGCTCCCTGGGGTTAAGGAGTCTTTGTGGGAGTTTCTCTCCACAACTCACTCTGTTGCAGCAAAGAGCAAGACTTAAACAGTGTAGTCTCCATTCGGTGTATTCCTGTGGCAGAAGATGGTACATTTGAAGAAAACAGCTTTATGGAGATATAATTCACATACAGTATAATTCACCCAACTAAAGTGTACAATTCAGTGGTTTTTAGTATAGTCACAAAGTTGTGCAACCATCACCACTGTCCGTTTTAGAATATTTTCGTCACCCCAGAAAGAAATCCTATACCCGTCAACAGTTATCCTGCTGCCACGCCTCACCCCCAACTGTTTTCCCCCTCTCTTCTCCCCACAGCCGCTGGCAGCCATTCATCTACTTTCTCTATGCGTTCGCCTTCTCTGGACAGTTCATATAAACGGCTCCACACGACCTGTGCTCTTTTGTGCCTGGCTTCTTTCACGGAGCATAATGTTTTCAAGGTCCATCCGTGTTGTAAACCGTGTTAGTGTTTATTGGTTTTTAAGGCTGAATAGTATTCCAAAATGTGGAATATTTAATAATACACTGGCCCTTTAATTAGTTGATGGACATTGAGTCATTGGGTTGTTTTTACTCTGTGGCTCTTATGAATAATGTTGCCCTGAACATCTGTGTACAACTTTTTATGTAGACTTTGGTTTTTATTTCTCTTGGGGACATACCTATCAGTGGAATTACTGGGTCCGATGGGAATTCTTTTTACCCTTTCAAGTTGCTGCCAGACTGCTTTCCACAGCGGCTCACCATTCTCACCAGCGGTGGCTGAGGGGTCCAGCTGCTCCACAATCTAGACGACACTTGCTACGGACGTTTATAGTCTAGCCTTCCACGGGGGTGTGAAGTGGTAGTTCACAGTGGTTTTGATTTGCATTTGGCTATTGATTTTGAGCATCTTTTCATGTGTTTCTCAGCCATTTGTATGTCTTCTGGGGAGAATTGTCTGATACTCTCATTTGCCCATTTTTTTTTATTCAGGTTATCTTCTTATTATGAGATCTAAGAATTCTTTATGTATTCTGATACTAGACCTGTACCAGATGTATGATTTGCAAATATTTTCCTCCAATCCTGTGGGTGGTTTTTTCAGTTTCTTGATAGTGTCTTTAAGTTTTGATGCCGTCCAGTTTTTCTCTTATTTCTTTGGTTGCTTGTGTTTTTTGGGCTCATATCCGAAAAAACATTTAAGGTCACAAAGATTTACACCTGTGATCTCTTCTAAGAGTTCTGTAGTTTTAGCCTTTACGTTTAGGTTTATGATCATTTGTGGTTAATTTTGTGTATAGTCTAAGGAAGAGGTGTGTCCAGCTTCACTCCTTTACCTGTAGATGTCCGACTGTCCCAGGACCATTTGTTCTTCAGTGAATCGTCTCGGCAGCCTCATCAGAAAAACAAATGGTTTTCTTCTTAGCACTCTGCCTGTGTCCACTGAGCCAGGGTGCAGTGGACTTACGGGAGTTACCCTTCACATTACCCAGAGAGGTGTTCTCCACTGCGTCTCCTGTCATCAGAAAAGCTTTGTGGTATCTGTGTTCCTGTAGCCACAGGGTTATATAAAGAAGCAGTCAGGCAGTGATTCTCAGCCAGGGACGTTGTGACTTGTCATGACTTTGGGTGCTACTGGCATCTGGTCGGTAGAGGCCAGGGATGCTGCTGAACATCCTACAATGCCCAGGAGAAGCCCCTACAAAAATTATTTGGTCCACAATGTCAAAAGTGTCAGCGGAGGAACCTTGAATTATAGTAAGATGGAAACGTTCACAATTGAGTCAACCCTTTGCACTTATAAGTGTAGCTATAGGATACAGAAGTGCAGTGACCTTGTTCCTGCAGATAGACCATATTGGATTCTAAGGAGAATTAGGTCTGTGGCATCACAGCCCAGAACTATATATCTGGAAGAGGCATGGCATTAACACAGTTGGAACAATTGTCAAATGGCCTAATGGTGAAATCAATATTGGGCTGACACCAAAGCCAGAAAGGAGCCTCTGGGTACAAGAATAAATCTGCAATTTTAGCCAAAATGTAATTATTGCAGTTTATTATTAGCAATTTTATAATCTAATCTGACAGTTATGGCAGCCTTGTCAGACAGTGATTGCTCTGCACTGAGAGCTCCTTCTGGGCTCACCGCCCCCCCCGGAGGAGCACTGGTAAATAGGGGCTTCCGGTCCCTCACCCACTTAGCAAGTGATGGGACAGACCCTTTTGTGGGATTTTTGCAGCATAGAATCCCAGAAACTATTTTTTACTAATATGTTTTCTAAAAGAAACTTTGTACCTAAGTTTCATAGCTTGGACAAATGTTTCGGCTTTAATTCCTGAAAAATACTTGGCAGTCTTTAAGCGGACCTTTTTGTTTAAATTTTTAGTTTTGTGGATTCAAAACTGTAAGAGTTTTTTCTTTGTTTTTTGCATAAAAAAGGAAACATCAAATTAAATTTAAAGAAAAAAATCTGAAAAAAACTGGAGTTTTGCGTCTTGGTGAACAACTTTATTGGAAAGGTTGGAGAAAAATAAAGATGCCCTTTCACTTAAGAATTTGTGGGTTAAGGGGCGCCTGCGTGGCTCAGTTGGTTGAGCGTCTACCTTCGGCTCAGGTCATGATCCCAGGGTCCTGGGATCGAGCCCCACGTCGGGCTCCCTGCTCAGCGGGAAGTCTGCTTTTCCCTCTCCCTCTGCTGCCCAGCGCCCCCCCGCTTGTGCTCTCTCGCTCGCTCTCTCCCAGATAAATAAATAAAATCTTTTTTTTTTTTGGTAAAGATTTTATTTATTTATTTGACAGAGAGGGACACAGAGAGGGAATACAAGCAGGGGGAGTGGGAGAGAGAAGCAGACTCCCCGCTGAGCAGGGAGCCCGATGCGGGGCTCGATCCCAGGACCCTGGGGTCATGACCTGAGCCAAAGGCAGACACTTAACGACTGAGCCACCCCGGCGCCCCTGGATAGAATTTCAACAGCTAGATTTCTTTACTGAAGTTGTATTTCTTGAATGCTCACTTGTATTTGAAACTGAATATTCTGGTAATATTAACAACTAAATCCAAATGACCTGCCTTGTTCTCTGTTCTATTGATGAGTTATGACCCCATAGACTCTGCAGTCTGGCGTAAGTTTAGGAATGCCAGAGTCAGTGCTGACATCGAGCTGCTGCTGCGACTCTCGGAGGCTGAGGCAGGAGCACACGGCATAATAGCACATTGGGCTTTCAGACACAGCGGCTGAAGCTGACCTTGTGTGCTACCAGCTCTGCTCGGCATGCCTCCTGTTGGGCAGTTGGTGTCTCGTGGCCTCATGGGTTGGCAGGGCTCCCTCCTGGGCCACTCTTCCTATGGCTTGGCTAAGGATTCGAGAGAAAAATAGGCACAAAGGACATGATTAGACAGTTCCCAAAAGGCAAGAAAATAATCAATGGATCTAAGGGAAACATTCAAATGATTCACTAATAATCAAGGAAATGTAAATTCAAACAAAGTGTTACCCTTTCTTTTTTTAAACCATTAAAGCAGCAAAATATTTAAGAATTAGAATATCCTGTGCTGGTTATAATGCACTGAGATCAGATCACTCATGTAGCTGTGGAAATTAGTTCACTCATTCATTCAAACATACTCAGGATTGTAGCAGGTACTCTGAGAGTTGCTGAGGAAATGTTTATGGCTGTATGCATGAAATTATTTATCAAACATCATTAATAATAGCAACAGTTGGAAACTACCTAAATGCCCAACAGTTTGGGTTAAGGAAAATACTTGATGGGTTTTTTTTTTTTTTTAAGATTTTATTTATTTATTTGAGAGAGAGGGAGAGAGTGCGTGCCTGCACGAGCAGTGGGGAGGACAGAGGCAGAGGGAGAAGCAGACTCCCCAATGAGCAGGGAGCCTGATGTGGGGATGTGGGACTCCATCCCAGGAAGGACCCTGGGATCACAACCTGAGCAGGCAGACACTTAACTGAATGAGCCACCCAGGTGCCCCCTTCATGGGTTATTAAAACTGAAGCAGCATGGACAAAAGCAAAAAAAATCTACACACTTAGTGTGATTTATAAAGACATCTATATGAAAATTTGGTAAATATCTGTATGAATATTTTTAATAGGATTTTAGGTGGCCTTTTTTTCCCTCTTTCCCAAATTTCCTATTGTATTGACATTTGCTAAAATAATGAAGTTGTTTTTGATGCCACCTGAATGTTAATTGGTTCACTCTGTGGTCATGGGTTGACTCAGGATTGAACTGCCTGCTTTGTCATTGTGAGTACCTCAGCCATGTTTCCAGTATCCAGTTTCTGGTCTCAGAGAGGCCTGGGTGATGTGATCATTTTGGCCCTTGCAGGGGTACTGAAGACATCACCTCTCCTCATGGCATCCCTCTTGACCTTCTGGACCGTGTGATGATCATCCGGACCATGCTGTACACCCCACAGGAAATGAAACAGGTGAGCCTCCCTTCCCCCGCCCTTCCCTCTTCTCCCCTCATTTACTCCTAGCGTTCCCTGTTGCTGTGCAGAAAGGTATCCATGGAGCAGACCTGGCTTCCACCACCATTCTGGCACTTAGCTGCTGGCCTTGGGCAAGTCACAGTACTCCGGGGCTTCAGTCCTCCCGTCCGAAAGATGGGTGGGCTGATGAGACGTTGCCTGAGGTGTCCCCAAACCTCAGCTAAGGTCTGTGGGTCCTGGCTGTTGTCTCTTCTACTACATGCATTCTGATAAACTTTAGGAAAGGGATAGTGAAAAAATCAACTTGATGACAGCCATTAGGGAGGCCACCAGCTGTAGGACAGAGGCAATAAGATATGATTTAGCAGTCATTCTTGGTGTCTCGGCCAGCCCCTGTCCGAGGCCTCTTCTGCTGAGTAGGCAAAGCCAAGTACTCCATCCCACCAGAACCCACAGCAGGCTGGCTCCAAAAGGGCACAGAACCTGGAGTGGGGCGAGAGCCTGTCTGCTGCAACCAGTGTGACTAGTGGCAGGTCTCCTGGGGGCTGTGGAGGCCATAGAGATGATGGTGAAGCAGGGTCACACAGCTTAGAGGGGCCCCTGGAAGTGGTGGTCCTAAAACTAACCTATAAGAGGTGAAGGAGGTGTACCTGACTCAGAGCGGATACTCAGAATTCTGTGCGAGCTGGATTTGCGTTAGGCCTGAGGATGGGAAATGAAGCAGGTGTCTGCAGTCGGGCCTTACCCCAGGGGGCACCGTCCCAGCTCTCCCCACAGGGTTCGTCTCTTGCTTGATCTGGAGTTGGAGCACCACGTGCCCAGGCACTTTACACTTAGAATTTCTAGTCCTCTTCCTGGTACTGCCAGGTAGTCCTTGATCCCCTCTCTTCCTGTGTATGGCTCAGTCCGTGAGTGGCAAGTCCTGGGTGCGGAGCCCAGGCCACGTGCTCAGTGGTGGGTTGTGCCCTAGGTTGGTGTCCCACTGGGGCAGCATTGCTGTGCTCTTGCCCTGCCTGGCCCACCCTTGTGCCAGAGAATCTTGCTCCCGGCATAGGTCTCTCACTGCGGGGTCCGTGTAGCCACAGACCAGGTGGACCAGGGCTAAACTGATGTCTCAGCGGGCCCTGCCTGGACCCTCTCCTCTCACAGAGCACAGGCCCTCTTTGTTGGATGTCATGCTGGGCCTGTGGACACACTTAGCAATGTGATTCCATTTGCTCCCCATTACCTGTGAGGTGGGAGAGCTATTGTCACTGTCATTCTTAAAGATGAGGACACAGAGACCCAGGCCCACTCGTCTGCCCAAGTTCATAAAACTTGTCAGTGGCCAGTAAGTGACAAGACTGACAAACCAGAGTCCAGGCTGCCTGGTCCAGAAACCCATGTTCTTCCTCACCGGGCCACTAGCTCCCACCTGCTAGACATAGCTCAGTTGGGGGTGGATTCCCTGTGGCAGTTTGTGAGCATGGCCTTTCCTTTTGCCTCTCCGGGGCACTCCCTGGCAGCACCCCTGCTCACCATGGTCCCCCCCCCAGCCCCGCCCCGCCGACGCTCGTTGTTGGCCAGCGCCCACCAGTGCCATGGTGATGTAGGGAGCTGGGGACCACCAGAGCTGTAACAGTGGGGGGCGGCTGCGGGCGCACTGTTGGGGACACAGTGTCCATGGCCGGGGCCCTGGCACCGGATCGTGGTCTCCGGATCCTGGATGAATGGTAGGTTGAAGCCAAGGCATTCACTGAACAGAAGCAGAAGCAGAAGCAAAGGAAAAGTTGGTTGCCCCCCCCAAACCTTACCATGGGACAGGAGCCCTGTGTCGTCCTGCCAGGAGAGGCAGCCCCACCCACTTGAGGTGCTTTGTGGCCGAGTGACTTGAGCCACTGGCACACCTCTGTGATCCTTGGCCTTCTTTGTCCTCTGGAAGGTCTGCTCTCTCTTTTCCAGGTTGTGAGGACTGAGGGACAGTAACCAAGGGAGGGGACCAGGCTGGCCATCCTTTGTCCCAGCGCAGTTATTACAGCTACTAATGGCTTACAGGTGTTCACCACCCGCTGGGGGCCTTATAGCAACTCCCAGTAACCAGGCTTTGAGGTTCCCGAACTACAAAGGTCCTGTGGTCACAGAGATAAGCTGCAGAGCTGGGACCCCACTCAGAGCCAGTTCACCTTTGTTGCCTCCATTCGACCCTGGAGCACAGGGTCCGAGCTCTCCTGAAAAGTTCTGCACTGTGCTTCTGGCTCCTGGGCTGGTTCCCTTCTTGGCTCAGTCAGGAGGGTGAGCAGAGGTCACTGCAGCTGCCAGGACGCGCATTGCTTTGTTCTGATGGGCTCGAGGGATAACCTCAGCATTTTTACTGGAGCCCGGGTAAGTTTTTAAAAAAACAAAGTAAATATAACTTGTGTACTCTGCCATCAGTGCCGACACCCTCATAAACTATCCCTGCAGGTTATTAAATGATTAAAGATCTAATTTATGAACTGTCCGTTTCCGAGCAGTCTGAAACAGGAGCTCTTGGGATTGCTCTGACCTGCTGGCAAGAGAGGGAGTGAGAGCAGAGCGGCCCCGACACTCCTGAAGCCCGACTCTGAATGCTGTACAACTTGCTGAAGGCCAGATGCTCTGGGCTGAAGCTCTCTCCTTGACCAGACTCTCGGATTCAGTATTTGCATCTCCCTAGAGTTTCCGAAGTCCCCCGGAGGACATTTTTCTTGGCAGGACCTGGAGGTTTCCTTAATCCCCAGCTGTCAGGGCAAAGCCCTTTTCTGGTAGAGCACAAACCTCTCTGGCTCTGGCTGGTGTGGTCAGAGGGGACTCCTGTGGTTGGAGTCAGGAGCAGGGATCTCTCTTCCTGCTCTTTTTTGTGCCATCCTTAGGCCTATCCAGTAACTTCCCTCGCCTCGGCTACATTTAGCTTTGGCCCCTGGACAGTGGAATTCCTCATGCACAAGCTAAGAGTCTTTTGACAGAGGTCATACATGGCAGCCCACTGGCTGAATGAAAAGTTCTATGTAGCCAGTGCTGTGATTGTGAGTGATTCAAACAAGTTGCCAACATTTAGAAATTGGGACATCTCATACAGAAGTCTAAGTTTTGAGTCTCTTTGGACCAGATGGAACTTCCCTGAAAGCACCTGCCCTCCGCCCTGCGGCACCAGCGGCCTGCGGCAACCATGCCACCTGTCCTGGCTCGTGCAGCCTTGTCTGCCTTGGCTTCTGCCCTGGTCCAGTTCTGTGAGACCTGGCTTTCCTCTGGAGCACGACTTTCCCCATTCACGGCAGCTGACATGCGAGGGGCCCTCACCGGAGTTCCCAGATGCTGAGCGGCCTGCCCCAGTGGGTCTCTGCCTCAGAGCCTCAGGGCTGGTGTGAATTCAGAGTCTGGCTCCTGAACCTCTGGTCCCTCTCTTCCCCTTGCAAGGGTTTAGCTGGGGGCTCAGTCTTTCCCATTTCCTATTCCTCTACCTTGGGTGTTTTTATGGCTTTAATTTAAACAAGGGCTTCTTGATATCTTGTTTACGAAGCTGCCAAAGTGAAAAATTCCTGTATTATATGAGGCTCGAAGTCCTCGAGTTATCTCGGCTCCCCAACACACAACATCATTATCCCAGCTGCCCCTTATCACTCAGTGCTGGTGCGCCTGCAGGATCCTGGGGCCATGTGTGTTACAGCGGCCCTGCCGCCAGCCCGCCTCCCCTCGGCTTCACCAGGATCTTCACACTGCAACAAGCGTCAGCCTCTTAGTGATAGATTAGATATCTCCCAGTGATGTTATGAGGGCTGGTAAATCTTTAAAAGTAACTTTTTTGATTTATTTAATCATCGTATTTATCAAGCAAATAAAAAATGTCTCTTCTTGCCTGAGTGCTTATAGGTGGTGGTGCCCATGCTGGGGAGGAAGGTTAGAGCCCTGGAGGGAGCCCTGGCAGGTTTCGGAGGGGCCTGTGTTCTCCAGATCTAGGAACTGCATTAGGGAGGCTGGGGAGGCAGGGGCTGAGCTACCCTGGTGCACACCTCCAGGGGTACCAGCCGCCTTCTAGTCACTGTGAGCCCAGGCTGTAAGCTGTTCACACAGAATGTGGTTTGGCTAGAGCCCGAAGGTGTGCCAGCCCAGAAGTCCTGGGCGGAGGCCAGCTCTCTGCCCCTCCAGCCCGGGTTTGGGCCTCTTTAGCACTGATGATGCAGGACACATGGGACAAGGTCGTTTTTAAAGCACTTGATAAAGGGGACACTTGAGGTGAGTCACTGTTGATCATGGTCTTTCTCCTCCAAAAGATCATTAAAATCCGAGCCCAGACAGAAGGAATCAACATCAGTGAGGAGGCGCTGAACCACCTGGGGGAGATCGGTACCAAGACGACTCTGAGGTGAGCGCGTCTCCCCGGAGCTGCTCCCCACCTGCTGGTGCCTGCCCAAGGGCCCAGTGGGGCCACCGGAGGGCCCTGGGACATAAAGGCGGATCCCTCTCACAGGGCATAGGACCATGTCTGCCCTCATTGCTATGATGGGTCTTGTCCTGGGCACTGTGATTTAGAATGTGGAATATTCGGGTGATGATGCTCATAGAGCTAGAGTAACAGGTTAGGTCCCCTTGTCCTGTAGCAGATGCTCCCCTGTGTGGAGAGCTTGCCAGCCTCCTTGGTGGAGGCGACAGACGATCCCAAGATCAGGGTCCAAGGCAGACGGCTCACTGGCCAGGCTGTGCTTGGCCCCTCCCCTGGGGCTCTTCTCCAGGCTGAGGCGGGCAGGGAGGGGGAAGGACGGGTGTGGGCACAGATTGCTCTCCTGACTTCACCAGGGGTCCGAAGCCAGCTGCCTGTAGGATGTCCCTCTTAGTGCTTGAGAAATCATGACCCCAGTCCCTATTTCTGTTTCCCTTTGAGTCTGTTCCTTCCTCCAAGGTTGAAGCAGAACTGCAGGCTGTATTATTTGGGTGGAGCAGTGCTCTAAAAACTCCCAGAGTTTCGTGGCTTTGCAGGGGGGACGTGCTTTTAGTTGGCTATGTGTTCATTTGCCTGCTCTGTGCAGTGTCCCAGTCTGGGCCTTAGCATTTCTGGCCTGTGCCTGTGTACACCACAGTTTGTGGTCCCCCCTGCTAAAGATTTTATTTTATTTACTTTTTTTTTTTTTTTTAAGATTTTATTTATTTGACAGAGGCACAGCGAGAGAGGGAACACAGCAGGGGGAGTGGGAGAGGGAGAAGCAGGCTTCGGGCACCCTGGGATCATGACCTGAGCCGAAGGCAGACGCTTAACGACTGAGCCACCCAGTCCCCCCTTATTTACTTTTGTAAGTAGGCTCCACACCCAGTGTGGAGCCCAACATAGGGCTTGAACTCAACCTGAGCTGAGATCCAGAGTCAGACGCTTAACCAACTGAGCCAGCCAGGTGCCCCTGTGGTCTCTTTGAAATAGCAGTGTAGTTACTGCTGTTACAGAGAACTTCTAGACTGACAGAGATTTGGGGGCTAGGATGTGTCATGCCGGTGACTTCCCTCCTCTGATGGGGTCATGAGACGGCAGGTCTTGCTGGTGTGGTGAGGGGGCTGCCACCCATGGCCCCATCTCACCCCTGCCCTGGCCCCTGTCACTCTAGGTACTCGGTGCAGCTGCTGACCCCAGCCAACTTGCTGGCTAAGATCAATGGGAAGGACAGTATCGAGAAAGAGCATGTCGAGGAAATCAGTGAGCTCTTCTATGATGCCAAGTCCTCGGCCAAAATCCTGGCTGACCAGCAGGATAAGTACATGAAGTGAAGACAGCTGAGGTGTTCTGGAGAGACTCCGGGCGTGCCTGGCTGGGTGCCGCCTGCGAGCAGGAGGCTCGCCCTGCGCTTTGGGCTCTGTCCCCTTCGGCCACGGCAGGCAGCACCAGCTCAGTGTGGAAAGTGTTGCTTTTTAAATTATTGTCACTTCTCCTGCGGTTGCTTTGAAGGAACCCTGCCTCACCTGGCATGTTTTCTAATAAATCCTTGTAGGTTATTTTGATGACCTGTCTCTCTCTAATTTTTTAAAAAATAAACCGTATTTTAGAATAATTTTAGATTTCCAGAATTGTTGTGAAGATAGTACAGGGAGTTCCCATATACCTCGTGCCACTTTGCTTAACTGTTAATATCCTACAGTGCTGGTTTGGCACATTGTCCCAGCTAATGAGCCAAAGTTAATATGTTATTGTACCCTATTCGCCTTTCCTGGGTTACTGAGCGGCCTCATCTGTCCCAGGATCCCGCCCAGGATGTCACGTTACATTTAGCCATCATACCCTCCTTCAGTTCCTCTTGGCTAGGACAGTTCCTTGTTTTTTCTACATTGACGGAAAGAGGTGTGCTGGTCAGGTGTTCTGTTGAATATCCTGCAGCGGGTTGGTTTGATGTGTTTCTCGTGGTGACCCAGGGTTTTGGGTTCTTGGTGGCAGACCACAGAGGTGCAGTGCCATTGCCATCACACTGCATTGAGGGTTCGCGTGTTGGTGTGACTTCCCCCTGTTGATGGCTGGCCTCAGTCACCTGGTTGTCGTGTGCATCCTTCATGGTGTCCTCTTTGGAAGGAGTCATTAAGCAGCCCACACGTAAGGCTGGGGAGTTCTGCTCCACCCCCCTCCTTTTTTTTTTTTTAAAGATTTGAGAGAGAGCACATGCATGAGGAGCGGGGGAGGCTAGAGGGAGAAGCAGATAACCGAGCAGGGAACCTGACCCGGGGCTTGATCTCAGGACCCTGAGATCATGACCTGAGCTGACGGCAGATGCTTAACCAACTGAGCCACCCAGGCGCCCCTCTGCTCCATCTTCTTGAGAGCTGGGTATCTACATAAATTATTTGGAATTCTTCACAGGAGGTATCTGTTCTTCCCATTGTCTCCCATTTGTGTATTTACTCAATCATTTATATCAGTGTGGTTCAGGGATATTTATCATATACTTGGGGTTATAATCCAATACTACATTATTCTGTGGCTCAGATTGGTCCAGTTTTGACTGTTGAGAGCTCTTTCGGTTGGCTCCTGTGTCCCTTTGACATATTAGTCCACCGAGTGGGGCTTTCAGCCCCATGAGAGGAAGGGGCAATGGCAGCCCTGACAGCACAGTGGGACATCTTGCCTGGTAGCATGAGCACAACTTTCTGCCTCTGCCCCGCGCAGGCCTCGTCAGCCAGCTTAGCCACAGAAGTGGTGCCTCAGGAAAGGCTCGTTGTTGGTTCTCTGCCCACATGCGCAGGGCCTCTGTGCTCTCAGTGGACAGGAGAGGGGACCCACCAAGATGGGTATCTTGATCCAGTCAGGGCTTTAATCCCAGTCAGCCATGAGGGCCTTGTGGGGCAGGCACAACTATTGTCCCATGAGTGATACCCGCCCGAGCATGTCCAGGACACTCCAGGCAGGAGGGCTGAGGTCATGCTGTGGGCGTCCATCTAGCCCTCCGAGGGTCCCCTGGCCATACTCATGCCCCAGGAAGGCCCCAGCTAATCTGTGGATCTTCTGTGGGCCTGGACCCTGAGGGAGGTGCCCGCATGGGGGTCTTGGGGGAAGTGGGGGCAGGGAGGAGACTGGGTCTGGTGGGGCATGGTGAGATACTTTCTGAAGTCAGGGCTGAACTCTGCAGCCTGCCTGGGCTGCCCAGATCCTCTGTCCTTGTTCCTGTGCCCCTGGCTCCCAACCCAAGCCACGGTAGAAAAGAAGAATGATACCTAAGGTGTGGCGAGAGCTGTTAGGTACTAGAGCCGTCTCCTTCCGTGTTCTCACAGTAGCCCCAGGAGATTGGGACAAGTTCAGTCCTGGTCAGCTAGTAAGAGGTGGAGCCAGCATTTGCAGTCAGCCAGGCTGGAGTCTGTGCTCCTAACCCCTACAGCTGTACCACCACCTTCCTCTGCGCTGAGTTGGCAGTGGGGCCTTCAAGATCTGAGCTTCGTACCAGGCCGGTGAGGCCAGCAGGCTCAGGTGTGAGGACGCTGACTTGCCTCGGATGCCCCAGAGGACCAGGGCAAGCTCTGCCCCAGCGGGACCTCTTCCCCCAGCCCCCAAATCTTCCACAGGGTTTGAGGAGCAGGATAGAAGCAGGGGTGCTGGCAAACCTCTCCAGCACAGGTGAGGACAGAGTCCTCCCAGCTGCTCTGGGAACCTGGATGGCCAGAGCAAGTCTGGGTGAGGAGGGGCGGGGGGGGGGCGGTTGGTCACAGCCCCTGCTCCAGCTCCTCCAGGATCTTGGCCTTGGTGGTGCCCAGGGAGCTGGCCCACCTCGCTCATCTGTGCTCCAGTGAGGGAGATGGTTCTGGATAGGTAGGAAGGTTGGGTTATTTTAATTTTCCTCCTATTTTTTCCAGCAAGGCCTGTGATTATTACATTAATCTTCCAGGTGAAGTTTTTACGACCGATCCCTCGCCGACTATGAGAAGTTTCTCCATCCATTACCAAGAGGGAAACAGACCCTCGTGGGGAGGAAAATATTTGTTACATCTTATCAGGCTGACACACAATCTAACAACAATTACAGCAGCCCCATTTTTTGCACTATTTCAGCTCCGGCGTGAAAAATTGTTGTAATATTAAAGTGAGTCAGGGTGGGGGCTGGTCATAGAAGTGGCTGGTGTTCCAAGCTCTGGGCCCAGGCTCTCCTGGGGGCCTCCTGGCAAGGGGAGGGAGTGTTTGCATGTAAATCCCAGCTCCCCAATTCTCTGCTCATGGCCTTGGAGATGCAGAGATGTGTGTGAATATGCTGGAAGGGCTCCTGAAAGACAATGTCCCCAGCTCTCGCTGGGAAGCCCCCTTGTCCCCCTCCTTCTCAGCCCAAATGTCTTCTTACCATCACACCTCTTAGGATGCACTCCCTAGATTGGTTCACAGGATACTACTGTGTTTTTAGGACTAAACACATAGATGGTGGTGTCACACCAGAAAGGGACTTCCTGGTTAGCAAACATTCCTCAACGTTTTTCTAATAAATCAGCTGCACAACAGTGGGGGTGTACTCCCTGTTGGTCTCCATAGCTGACCCCAGGGTCAGCAGGCTTCTGCCAGGAAAGCAGCAGACATTGGTCACCTGGCAGTCTTCAGCACTCCCGGTGGCCAGACCTGCTCTTGAGGGTCCCAGACCGGTGACAGGTGGGAGACAGGAGCAACCCGGTGCTGGCGGCACAGCACACAGGGATGAGGTTTTGATTGGGTTTGGCCCTTGGTCCTGATGAGGCTAGTCCCTTCTGGTCCTCTGAGCTTTGGTTTCCTCATCTATAAGATGGGGGCAATCTTTTTTTTTTTTTTTTAAGATTTTATTTATT